AAAAAGCATGAACTTTGTTATGTTGACCCAACTACCTCTGTCAGATGTAAACCAGTGTATGTATCTCACTAAAGGCAGGTACCTTTGTGATCTGATTTGCTCAGATGCATTCTTGGTAATTTAGGGCTGCTGTGAGCTAAGTTGATGACCCTCTATGGTAGACAATATTTCTCCGATTTCACAAATGATGAACTTGAGGTTCCTAGTGTTAAGTCTTTAGTCAACTAGAAAATCACAGAGCCAGCATTTGAAACAAATGTGCCTTAACCAAACCCAAATTCTGATTAATTATCTCCGTGCTGTGGTAAAAGCAATTCTTTCTTATTTAACTTAGGTATCATAGCCTTTGAAAGTCTCTCTAATTTTTTTTATTATGATTACAAGTATCCTTCTTCAAAAACAATGATGGGAAGTTTACACCCAGTCAAGTGCAAGGCTTTGTTCCTTTTCCACTTGCTAAACTCTCCGTGTAATAGTAGCAGTCTATTGTATAAAAGTATACTTTTATACTTAAAAAAAAAAAAGTGTAAAAGTATACTTTTCTTAAAGTATAAACAAAACGATTTGCCACTTTGGAAAAATGATGTTCCCATAAAGTTCCAACCTTGATGTGACTATGAATTACAGATCTCAACTCCCCGTTATTGCCACTTTTCGGTGCCAATTCAAAGCAGGTGAGTTTCAGTTTATCTCCTTCCTCACAGTTGATTGTGGTCAGTCGTCCATGTACCACCACTTCCATCTTCCCTGTATTATCTTGTATTTCATAATAAGTGAATTCACCCCTTACATTTTTCTGCAAAAGAAAATTAACACTTATCTTCTGAAACTGGATCAATAATTTTCCAATCTATGAGAAATACAGGGTGTTTCTGGAAACTTTGGTCTTTGATAGAGTAAATAGAGCTGGAGGTCCTGAATGACAGGTACCAAATAGCTTCAGACACTTGGTCTGTGAATCCTGCCTTTTCAATCCTCTCCTGAGCCTCTTTTGTTGAAGTTCGTTATCTGCTGGAGTTTTTCTAGGAAAAAAAATTGATTACTAATTTTTCCTGTTTTCACATCAGCATAGCTGGGATTTTTTAAGGAGCCTGGATACAGAAAAATCTGATTACTTTGGTAGATATCTTTCACACCTGCCCAAGAGCAGATGATAGAGGCTCTTCATGGCTCTTTACAAGTTTGAGAAAGAATGTTGCGAGTTCTCATTAAGTAGGCTGTTATTTCAATATGTAACTCCTTCTTTCTTCTCCATATAGTCGCTCTTTGCCAATCTGCCCAGATCTCAAATCTAGATCATCCATCTAGTCACATTGTTCTGGTTTGTAGCTCATTACTTCATTCATTAATTCTACAACCACATACATATGTACAGTCATTTAAACAGAGTGTACAGAAAACAGCACAATTAAAAGTAAGCCACCCTAGAAGACATATATAATGGAGTACGAAACAGTACTTCAAACAAGAAGTTAAATCAGCTAAGCATAATATTTACATGATGTGTTGAAACCGAAAGGCACACTGTAAGCCTAAGAATTCACGAAGCTTTTTTTTTTTTTGCATTTTATTGCCCCATTTATAAATTGAGCAGTTAAGCTATGTGACTTTTCTAGTCTTTTTGCTTTCGTATTTTTCTTATTATTTAATGCAGAAGTCAGTTGCTCAACAATCTCCTGATGAATTAATGAATGAGAAGAGGCAAGAACACTTTGAAGTCCAAATGATCAGAATTTTAGCTGACTGTTAGACATAGCTGCATTCTAAAGCAGAGTAGTCTATTTGATTTCTTACTCTGATTGTCACAATCAGGATTCAGGCTTGGGAGAGCAACTCTTTTGTTCACAATTAAATTAAGTTGTCATTGATGCAGATGGAGCAGAACTCAAAGAAACAAAATTCTAAGGATATGTGTGTTGATATAAACTGCACTGCCCTGGACAAGGGTGGCTGTGAATAGATCATCACAGCTAATAAAATGCCAAGTTCCCTAGTGACTGTCTTTTGTTTTTTTTTTTCTTCCTGAGACAGTGTCTTGCTCTGTTGCCCAGGTCGGAGTGCAGTGGCATGATCTTGGCTCACTGCAAGCTTTGCCTCCCGGGTTCACACCATTCTCCTGCCTCAGCCTCCCGAGTAGCTGGGACTACAGGCACCCACCACCACGCCCGGCTAATTTTTTGTATTTTTGGTAGAGACGAGGTTTCACCTTGTTAGCCAGGATGGTCTCGATCTCCAGACCTCGTGATCCACCCGCCTTGGCCTCCCAAAGTGCTGGGATTACAGGCGTGAGCCACCACGCCCGTCCTAGTGACTGTCTTTCTAAATAACTTGCATGGTGACACCTTAAGAAGAGGAATGTTGAGATATAACGTACCCCATATCCTGAAATGAACTCTATTCAATTATCTCTAGTGCTGGGAGAGGGGTGAAGGGGTTGATTTCCTATGTTGAATAAGTTGACCAAACTCCAGTTGACAAGACTTTAAAAATTTGGGGTTGCAGGAGAAACTATAAAACAATGGTGTGGGCTTACCTTATGTACCTCAAACACCCCATTCACAAAACTTCCTTTAGTTTGTGAGCAAAGATAACTGATTTTAGGAGTTATGTTGGCACTTCTAATCAATCCTTGTGGGATCTCCATTTTTCGGTCGGCATTCACATCAACCACAACTGTTAAAGGATATACCTCCAGGAACCCACTGCGGCAAACATAATTTGAGATGGCAATGATCTTCTTTGGGGTGAACTTCTCCTTTAGGTCAATATTAAAAACCTTCACTCGGAGGACTTCATTCTCAGTTGCCACTGTGGCATGAAACATTTTCTTCTGCTCTATGGGCTCATACACAAATGATTCTGTTGCGTTCAGCACCATCACTTCTTTGAAGTCACTCTGGACACTGTCTTCTGTGGAAACTTCTTTGGGTTCAGTCTTCAGTCTTGGTTTCAACTTAGAATGTAGAGACCAAAACACAGGCACAATTAAAACAGGAAATACAGGGTCACTCTCTAGTGAGAGTCATCGCAGTCTCAGTGTTGGTCATCAAGTATCACCTTAACTGGGTGAAGTAGGGAAAACTAGACAGAGATCACTGAGATAGTATAATTTAGGTAACGGAAGAAATTAAAAAGATTTAAGGAGTGATTTTATCATCGTCATTGTTTTATGAGTGGAAGGAAGAATATTTCTTTTTGGATGAGAATTAACCCATAAAGAAAAGGCATATCCCCTATCAAGAGGTATGCGAAAGCAGAGGGTAAAGGTAAAGCTGCCATGAAGTGACTCCCAAAAGAGATGAAATTTTAAAAGAATCTCAATTTTACTCCTTTCTACCCAGGTCAGGTCACATTGAGCACTGCTGGTCTGTGTAGGCAGCTGTCCTGCCTCCATGTTCTGGTCACTAGGTCTCCCTTGATCCCTTCTTGCCTCAATACTTCCTCTTCCAGTTCAGCAGCCCCTCCAATTCAAAGTGCTCTCCTACAACTCAGAAATAGTGCAGACCTCTGTGGAGACAGGAGGTTAAAGAAAAGTCCCCTCCTGCCTAATATGACAGTGACCAAAAAAAATAAACATAGAGAAAAAAATCACTATTAATAGCACTCAGAGTAAGGAATAGTCTCAATCACAAACCTTAGATTTCATGAGATTTCAGTTGGAACTCATTCTAGTTGATAGGGGCATTTTAAAGACCCAAATCACAAAGCTCTTTCCAATGAAGCAGCACTGTGTTGCAAAAACATCATTGAGGCAGCCACTGGAAGACTCCATGAACTTCCCTAATCTGAAGGGGCCCAGGTTAGAGGCTGTCCAATCTGAATAATGGCAGGAACTAAAAAGAGTCATGGACTTGGTAAATTAGGCAGGAGGGGACTTTTCTTTAACCTCCTGTCTCCACAGTGGCCTGCACTATTTCTGAGTTGTAGAAGAGGATTTTGAATTGGAGGGTAGGCTGCTGATCTGGAAGATGAAGTATGGAGGCAAGAAGGGATCCAGGGAGTCTTAGAGACCAGAATATGGAGGCAGGATGGCTGCCTCCACAGACCAGCAGTGTGACCTGACCCGGAAGATTATATAGGCCACCTGTGAGTGATGGCTTTAACTCTCTGATGGATTTAACTCTAATGAACTCATCAGTGTGGCAAATTTTCCATAGCATTAGGAAACCCATTCCCAATGAAGTTAATCAGTATCAAATCACCTCACAACAGCCATGACATCAGTACCCTGACACAAGGTGCACAGGACGTAAGGAAATAATTATAAAGCTACTATGAGGACAATGAAAGATCTGAGAGGCATGTGATTTTATACTGTTCGTTGTAAATACACAGAATACTGGAAACAACATAAAGCCAAATAATGTAGGATCATTTGATAATGTATGGAATAATTGCAATTTTTCTGGTGCAATAAAATAATTTAAATCTATATTGTATAACTGAATGGCAGTTCAAGATATATTAATTAAAAAGTGGGTTATGGAAAAATATATGAGTGTGATTTACTCTGACAGAAAATAAGACTCTTTGTATATACATAATGAAAGGTATAAAATCAGAAAGACCATGTACTGAAATGTGGCATTAGATAGAGATTTCTGATAGTTAAAAGTTAATTATTTTTGCTTATGTATCTTTTTTTCCTAAATTTTTAAAGATATTGTTTGAGTTATAATAAATGAAAGGGAAAAAATCAGTGATAGTGTTATGGTTAGCTCTGTTTCTTTCCACCTTATTCTACCTTAAGGTATGATTTTCATGGTGTGTTGAGGGAAAAACAGAAGTGTAAGCCAAAAGAAAAATAAAATTAAACAAACATCTAATTATACCTGCTATGGAATAGAGATGATAATAATAGAATTTTAATTTTGGATAGGACCTCAAAATACACACTTGATAAATAAATGACTGATTTGGTTAAATAAAGCATTGTATGTAGTAGGGGATTGGTGAGAAGTACTTTCAAGGTTGTGTTAATCCTTGTCATTATATTGTAGCAAGGGGAACATATTGGGAAGAGGGAACTCGTACCATGGTTAAGAAACTGCTGCTTGGTGTTGATGGAGGCATCTGAGGAGTGTGGAGATGGCTCTCAGCTGTGCCAATGCTGGTCATGAATGGTCCTGGAAAATGACTCTTTTCCTTCAGTATCTGCATCCTCATGAGGTCATTCATTTTGGTGATTGTGTCTTCACTTTTCTAAAGGAAAATAGATGTTTGTTCTTTTTTTCTAGTTAACGTTTTTCAAGATCAAATGAAACACATCTTTTCCTTTTTTCTTTTTTAAATAGGATGTTCACTTTGCCAGTTTCTCTTTTTTTCCCTGAGTTCGAGGAGGAGTAATAGCACATATTCAGACACTTCTATCACTCAGCCTTCTCTCATCCCAATCAGGATTAAAAACTCAGATAACTGAAATTGCATTGTTTGGGGATGGAATACTCAGTGTTCACGTCCTGTAAAACTGGACTAAGTTATTTGGTCAGGTACAACTCTTAGGGCTATTTTGGGGGCAGCATGACTTACAATAAAGTTGGCTACATTTATGGACATTTATTAACTAGGCCTTTCTCATCAATTAGGTACACAAACCAGTCTCTCTCAAGTGCTCTTCAGCATACAAGAAAACCAGATCTCCATCTTTAGGGAGCTCTGATCATAGCCATAACAAGAAGATTCTCTGAAATTCACAATTCCTCAGGCAAGGTTCTATGATCTCTACGGTGTGGGTCAGGCAATCAGAATCTTTCAGGGTTTTTAGCTGCATTCAGAACAATTTAATATTCTACCTAAAGCATTCCCATTAGCTACATTTTTATACATTTTTCAAATAAGATTGGGGAATATCTCTAAAATCACATACTTCGACTACCTTTAATTAAACTAATGGAAGTCCAAAAAATATTCATCCTATTTGGCCAATTTGGTACATGTTTTTTTTAGCAGTTTTGCCATTCAGTAAACTAACTTTTTAAGTGGCAATTGTTGATAGAGAGGTACACAAAAGAACTGCTTGTAGTGAGCTCACATGGAGAACAGCTTCTTGATTAGAACAGTCTCTGACCACCACTGAGCACCTGGACTATGGAAATAAACCCCAAACAAAACACTGTATATTCAAAATTGATTAAAAATAAATTGCAGACATTTTAACATTTGCACACCTACCGTGGATTCAATCTATGCTCATTAAATGCTCACATGTTAAATGTTAACATTTTAAGTTCAATAAGGCTGCATTTGAATCCTGACTAATACTATCTGTATGACCCCGAGGGAGATTTCTTTGCACCTCAGTTTTCTCACATGTGACATGGGACTAGCCATAGCATTTGTGTATGATGTTATAAACAATAAATTAGGTAAAGTGTGCAAAGAATGGGCTTTAGAGTCCAGAGCTCAGTAAATGCTCAATAAATAAGTCTTTGTTGCTATTATTTTTCCACGATCTATTAGGGGTTTGCATGTTTGCTCTGATGAGCAGATATTTCATGTTTTATGATGCCTTTGTTGAAGGAAACCTTGTATGGAGGTAATATAGGAAGCATAATATGAGAGAAGCCCCTCTATTCAGATCTGCCATGTGTAGCAATGTAATTTTATTGACAAGATTGTCTTGAGATATTATCTTTTAAAAATAAATGAAATCTTAAACTGTCATCATGATAGCCCGGCTTGGATGATGAATTTATAATCTTTGTTTGAATAATATTTTAAAAGTGCAAACATTTGTTTTCCCTCAGAGTAAATCCTCCTCCACCCTACCCTGTTCGTGAATTATGCCCTTCTGTGCTGTTCACTTCAGGATACCTAACAGCATAAATCAAAGATAATAATCTATTTCTGGCTTTGAATTAAAAAGTCAAAAGGAACTCTATTATAGAAAAACTACTTGGGAGAAGCTGCAATATATAAGAGCAAGGATTTCCGGGTTCCATAGTGAATCACAGACTGACTGGTCAGACACCATTTTTGCGGGCCTCCTGTGAAGATGGCTGGATCCCAGAGAAGAAATGACTACATGTTTAGGTGGATGAGTCTGCCTCAGATCCTGTGCTTTCAAAGAGGCAGAATGATTCCTATGCAAGTAGAAATGACTGTGCTGCCTATTTAGGCAGGCAAGGTCTTAGAAAGTTCCAAGCCAGTATGCATGGACAGAGTAGTTGTCTTATGATGTCCATGTATGTCACTGCAGTAACAGAGAGACAGTGGGCCTGAGGTTTTCATGACTACACATGGGCTCTACCTGTGGCCTTGATGGCAAGTCCCAAGATGGCAACAGTTACAAGCAGCTAGCTCTGCCCACAAAGAACCAGGAAAGACTATATAAGGGGACATATGAATTCTTGAAATTAATAACTAAAAAAACAACTGTATAAAAATTGAGAAAACCTGCATGGAGAAAGCCTGTCCTCAACTGATGTGTGTGGAGTGGTGCTGAGGTCTGCAACCTGGGCCAGGGGCAGCTTGGGGCTTGGGCGAGAAACGACATTGGAGAATAGTAATGTAAATCTTAGAGTTTCCTATCCCTCAAGTTGCTGTGGGTCAGTGTTTCCCTGCCCATTCCTTCCCTGCCCATTCGCCTTGGGTATAGGCCCCATAGCGCTGGATTGTAGGTAATACAGGGGGTGATATCAGGGCAGAACAAAAGACAAGCTGGGATAAGAGTTGATACACACAAGTGTAAACTCCCTCTCCCACCCGTGTTGTCTTCCCCTAGGAAAGGGTACCTATAACCTACATTTATTGCTGAGTAGGGAAGGAAGTCATAGGTTTATTATAGCTATGATAAATGCTATAAAGAAATAGAAAGGTACATATGAAGGCAAACAGTGGGAAAATAAGATCTATTCTGGGAGGAGGGTATTAGTGAGAACTTACTCAAGGAATAGATTAGACTGGTACCTTGTGGTTGAAGATATTTGGGGAAAGAACTGAGATGGAAAAATCTGACATCAAAGGAAATATCAAAACCCCTGCTGTGGTTAAAAGCATGGATACTGAAACTAAACTCTGATATATGGTAAGACAGCAAAAGAGAAAGGATTGAAAAGAAACTGGAATGTAGAGGAGGAACACATTGGTATAGTAATACTGGGGGAATTATTACTCAGAAAAAATAGCAATTATTCCTATTCATATTTCAGACCATTTTGTGTTGTTTATTTTAAGGGAGACATGGCAGAAGATATCAAATATAAAAAGTTATGCTTCTGGTTTCTAATCAAAACCAGGAATAATCCGTATCACACACAAAATTTTTGAGAGAACCTATTATCAGTAAGAATAAAGATTTCCTGCAGAGCTACTGGATCATGTAGCAAGTGGTCAGACAGGTTTTGCCTCCTACGGGGCTGGCTGGATACCAGAGGAAAATGGCTGTATTGGAGGTAGAAGACATATGATCCTGGCTGAGATTCCTAAGCTAACGGAGGTTTAGGTGCAGCAGAATAACTCCTATGGCTACAGGAATGGACACATTGCTTATTTTAGAAGGGTTGGACCTAAGAAAACATCACGTATCCCTTTTAAGCCAGTAGGTATGAGAAATCAGAATTTTCCAGGGATATTCACTTATGTCTTTGAAGTAGAAGATTAAAAAAAAAAATGGGTTTGAACTATTAACAAGTAGGTATGGACTCCATATATGATTTTTTCAAAATCTCCCTTTTTATAGGCTCTTCCCTCTGCTAATGTCTCTGTATAGTATACTGACATTTAGTTTCCTCAGCCCACGTTTCAGCACACACAGGACCAGGATTATGGTCTTCAGTCCGAAATGGTCAAGACTCAGATGACTGAAGTTTCTTTCACTGGTCTTAGATTCTTGGATCTATCTGTGTTGTATGCTGATGTGAGACCGCTTAGTTATACCACACCTCTTAGTGTCATTTTTTGGTAGATAATCCTCCCTGGTGATGAGGGGAGCATGACTCAGAGGAAAATCAGCCAAACTGAGGAGTATTTATAGGTAGACCTGTCTCATCAAATGAGTACACATGCAGGTAGCAGCTATCTGCTCTTCAGGCTCTAATACACCAACCTCTCCATCATTTTGTTCAGCAAAGTGATCTTTGCTGCAAGGATTCTCTCGAAGCTACAGTTCCAGAGGCAAGATTATGTTGCCCTTGCTGTCTACATGAGGCAAACTGAAATCGTCAAGATTCTCAATCAAAATCAGAGGGGTTCCAGGTTCCATCTGGAGAATTCCCAGTAGCTTGTTTCTTGTACTTTGTTCAAGTGAGGACAGAGTGTTGCAAAATCATATACTTTGACTACCATTAATTATAATAGTGAAAACCCATTTCTAACCATTTACATGTGATGTCCATTTGTCATTGTTTTTCTCACTTCTGGCTTTCACTAATATAATTCTATTGCACCATTTGCTGAAAAAGTGGTAGGTGAGAGGGCTGCAGGAGCCTGCTGCAGTGCTGTGGCTCTCTGATAAGAACAGCCTCTAACCACTCTCGTGCATCTCCTCCATCACTGAAAGACTGCAGAGTTCAGACTATTAAACAAACCCAAGCCTGACATGGTCTATTCTGAAATGTTAGTGTATACATACATATAAACATACTAGGGACAATTTTAAATCTCTCTCACATTGGAAGAAACATTATTCCAAAACTATGAATGCTAGTGTTCTCATATATGAATTGAGACTAACAATATCATATTTATGGTGTTGTAATGAAGAATAAGTTACATAATATACATAGCTAATAAGCTTAGAGCCTAGACCCTAGTAAATGCCCAATAAGCAAAAATATAATTATTGTCATTGTTAATAATGGCCTGTGCAGTATTTGAATTTCTGCCTGATGCACACATTTTCCATGCTTTATGTTGACTCTGTTGATGGATACCCCAGATCAAGGTAAGATGAAAATCATTTTATTAAAAATGTTTCTCTATTTAAGTATGCTACATGTAGTAATGGAATCTTACTGAAAGGAGTACATTTCTAAATTTAGAACATAAAATTTTTTGTTCAGCATTTAAAACTACATACTTGGTAGCATGAGTAGCTACGAAAACACTCAAACAATTTAAGAAAGAAAAGATTACCAACATGCTTCTCTCTGAACGCATCTTCCACCA